GCGTTAGTTTCGTACGTGGCCATGACACCGAGGTCAAGATGCCGCCACTGAGTACCGCGACTGATCCGACGACGCCGACGATGATGCCGTATCGAGAGAAGATTTCGGTATGCGAGGGATATGTATCGCCGAGATAGCTGGGCATGTAGTATCCGAAGACGTTGCCGCTCAGTTGACGGAAGCCGGCGGAGAGGACGAGGAGCCAGAAGGAGTTCATGCGAAGGATGTAGGTGAAAGTAGCATGCAGATCAGCCCTTGCTGCTTTCAACCTCGATGTAGCTTGGATGTGCGGTGGTATATCGGCGAAATCCTCGTCTATGCTGTTGCTGTGATGGCGTGCGTGCATTTGAACCAGACTTTCTCTTCTCTTTGGTTCCCGCAGGACGAGTCTCAGTAGCACCGCTACAACACATCCCGTGATGCCGATGGCTCTTAGAGCGATGCGCCAGCTTGTACCGGTTTCCGTGAACGCAGTAGCGATCTGACCACTGATGGCTTCGCCAATGTATACTCCAACATAGAGTACGCTCTCTCCAATGAACACGTTCCTCCATCCCACCAAGTCGCTGATGAGACTGATGGATAGTGCCTCAACACTTGCCTGTCCAATACCCATTCCAAGTCTTGCACAAAATAACTGTCCAAAGTTGTTTGCTAGAGACTGGAAGATGACGCATAAGCTCCACCATGCCGCTGTAACGCACAGAACCCATACGCGAGCAGATGTATAGTCCGACAGGAAAGCGATGGGGAGAGCGAGTATGGCGTAGACAATGCCTGTTGCGTAGCCCGAGAGAAGGCCATATTGGGTCGAGCTCAACGAGAGATCTGCTAACACAGAAGTCTGGAAGTATGATAGAATGAATTTGTCGTATTGCGCGAGGAAGTAGTTGACGAACAAAAGTGCAATGCAGAGGTAGGCGTAGGCGTTGTGGAGAAGCGATTGCTTGGAAGTAGTTGCGTGCGTGGTCGGTACCACCTCGTCTTGGTAAGGCCGTTTCGTTCCATCATCGTAGGGACGTTTCATATTCATTCTCAATGCAATATTGGTTGTATTGAAACGTGGAATCTCGTAGATGCCGGCATCAGCTGTGTCTAGACTCGTTGCATACCAAGCGGTGGCGCAAAATCGATGACGTAGCGGCCACCACACCCCGCAGCCGAGATACCCGTTGCGATATGAGGTTAGACGTTGCTGCGATCTGTAGTTCGCAGGCAAATCCACCCTCCACAATGCCTAAACCAGAACCGCAACTTCCCCTGGGCAGCTCTTCGACACTGCGCGGGTTTGCCGAAAGCTTCTCGTTCCACAACTCACCAGAGTCATTCATTACGTCTCGCATCATCGCTTTTCAGAAACAACACCCGGAGGCTGTAGAGAATAGAGCTATCGTTCGGGCAAAGGTGTTGAATCGCAATGTCGCAATCGTCTCCTCGCATGCGCAAATCCATCAAGTCCTGGCCCAAGATGCGTCAGGTTACGAAGCCAGTGGCGCATATGCTGAGCTGATGGCACCGTTCTTTCCATCACCGAACTTGTTACTGACGGATGGTGACGAACATGCATCTATGCGTCAAACATGGGAAGCGAGATTGGAATCTCTCAAGAAAGTGCTAGCTCCTGCGGTATCTGAGCGGGTCGATCAACATTTTTCTGAGCCGTCAACATCAGATATAGACATGTATGAGTCTCTGAAAAGGCTTTCATGGAAGATACTGCTCGGAACATTCCTGGGTCTCGACCGCGACAACAGTCTCTTCGATACGCTGGAGAGCCTGCAGGAAGACCTGCTTCGAGGCCAATTCTCGCTGTTCCCAGTGACAGTCAACACAGGTTTCTGGCACTCGCCTCGCAAGAAGGGTAAGGAGGCGAACAAGAAGCTGCAAGACAGAATTCTGCGTCACATGAAGGAAGATGTGAAAGCATGTCCATTTGCTGTTGCGGGCCAAGGCGAAACAGAGGATGTGGCAAAGCACTCAGTCCTCTTTACCAGCAGCCTCGCGGTCAAAGCGCTAGCATCTCTTCTGACAGCCTTCTTGTCAAACCTATTCTTGTATCGGACGAAGGACGTTCGATCGCTGGCTGATACTTTGGTCGGTGAAACTGAACCAGGGAGGCTTTCGCTACGCTTACGCGCCATACTATTAGAGACTGAACGACTTAGCCCGCCGATTGTAGGCGTCATGAGACGATCAACAAGAGACAATATCATCTCGTCGCCGGGAGAGCAGGCTGACATCAGAATACCAAAGGGCTGGGACTGTTGGTTGTATTTCGTGGGCGGTGGCCGCGATCGATCGACTTACGGGTCGACTTGGGATGTGTTCGACCCAGATCGATATCTTGACAAGGGCCTGGCGCCCGGTGTAGCCTACGGAGCGGGTCCCAAGACTTGTTTAGGTCGCCATGCGATCCGCGAGATCGTGCTGGCTGTAGCAGAGACGTTTTTGCGCCTGGAAATCCAGATTGATGGGAAGATTAAACCGCGTGGAGTACGCGGTTGGCTGGGATGGGAGCCGAACGATTCGGTGATGCCTGAGGATTGGGCTCGAGACATGAAGCAGTTGCCGACTCAGAGACCGTCAGACTCAATTATGATACGTGTGTCGCGTAGCTTTCCATAGCAAGATTTCAATGTATTCGTCGCTTGATGTTCCTCTTCGCTATGTTGAAAGCCAGCATGGTCCACCAGATAGCGTTCAGCCCAACCAGCATAGCAGTTCCCATCTGACATCGTTTCCTGAGCATCGCATACGCTTGATACGGACCAACACCATGATGCTGGCCGTATTTCGACAATATCCAGTAAACGACACCGAATCTTGAAGCAGCGAATGTTGCCAAGAAGGCCATATCTAAAGCATTGTTTGATGCTCTTGTGCGCTGTCGGTTCCACCATCGCGCATGCATTAGTGGTGTACTGCCATTCATCAATAAGAACGCGGTGATCACCCACATCCCCTTTTCTTTGCCGGCTGCAATGTACGCTTGCAACACGAGTAACGCGGATGAGAGCAGCACGTGATGAACGAGAGTGATGGGTGAGTCTCGGGCCACAACGCGTAAGGCAGCGCGAACTGCTGACTGGTCCTTCTTGCGGCGTGCATGAATCATCGCATAAGTGTCGTACAGGAGGTAAGCGGTCTCCCATGCAGTCAGCGCGTTAGCCATCTTGTTGTGACCATTGATCGTAGGATTGTGCGAATCGTCTAGGTGTTGGCTCTTCCCGTGAGCGTCTTGAGGGGCTGATCTTTGTGACGGGAGTATCGGCCATGACGAGTATCGCAGTAACAACAATGCAGCGATAGAAGATGCTGTGGCATGCGCTGCTGAAACGGCCTTATTGAATCTGATTGGATCTGTTGACATTCTCGAGGTTCGGTATTGCGAAATGTTGCTTTTCAGGGCGATAGTAGTGCCATGCAAATAGCGTATTGATGGGAGGCGATGAAATGGGTGCAGTGGCTTCTTGGGCGCTTCTCGGCTGACAGACACTCATGGTCCGTGCGGTATGCACGTCATCGACCCTTCATCCCAGCCACCGAGTTGAGCCCGATCCGCAAACACCATCATCACTTTGTTCTCAGTTATAGCGAGTCTCAGGAATGTCTCGTACACTTTACATCCTATTCAATGCCGACGCATCTATCATGGGCAAATTGAGGTACGGTTATCGAAAGATTTGCCATTCTTCAGAGGATAATCCAGCTTGTGCCGCCTGTATGCTTCCCTCGGCGAATTAATCCGTCTGATAATGTGACAAAGTATGCTGATTCCCACAGGTGATATTACACATGGCGGATTATCATTGAAGGAAACACCAGCTTGGGTAGAAGCGAAGAAAGCAATAGAGGCTGAATCCGGATACCACATCGTGCAATGGCATAGAGATGAGCTGTCTGGAGAGGTTCGTGGTCGCGATGGGATCTTCCGAGTACTGAGATCTAAGTATTGACCACTTGCAGATGAAGAACTTCATCGAGTCCAACAACATCCGTTATCCGACCATTGTGTCGAGCGGAAGCAATGGTAGTCTCTCAGAGGTGATGAGCAACTCGGAGCTTGCGGCTTGTAAAGGCAATGCACAAAGTGTCATCTCGAGGCTTCGAGAGAAGGGCATCATGCAGCAGAAAGCGGTATCTCCTTCTCTGTAGCGAGTTTCATTCGATACCAGTTAGCTCAGCGCCTGCACAAGCCAATTTGTCCTTTGAGCAATGCCTAAGCATACTAGAAGGGCCATAGTCCATGAGAGATGCTGCAGATAGCGAGGAAAGATGAGCATGGCTGTGAAGAAAGCCGCGCTTTCCGTCCCTTCGACAAGTGCTGGTCGCATTGCCACGCTGGTCAGCTCTTTAACCCTGCTTCCATCTTTCCCGCTGCCCTTGCGCTTCTCGAGAATGGCGCCAGTGTAGAACAAGACGAAGTTGTTGACGTGGAATGATGCTTCTAGAACAGCCACTGAGAGCCAGATGCTCTTCGCATTGGGCTCATCATCACGCGCTAAAGCGCAGGATATAGGAATGGCCGAATAGACGATGAAGTCGCCCAAGAGGTCGAAAAAGCCGCCAAGATCCGAAGACTGTTTGCGTTTGCGGGCGACAGCGCCGTCGAGACAATCCAGTGCCCTGTTCAGTGCCCAGAACGTGGTGCTCGCTAAAGTATTGTTGGATGCAGCGTAAATACAGGAGATCACACCCGAGGAAAAGGCCAGAAACGTGATAACTAGTGGCGAGCAAATGGAGGGGACGAGTGGCGTGATATAATCGAAGAGCCTGTCTTTAATCGGTCGAAGCTGGATGTCTAACATGACTGCGGTAGATGTCAGCTGGATAGCGAATGATGGTGATGGGTGAGATGCAATTTCGAGATAGAATGCCTTCGGAACCGTTCCGATCGGATGACGTCAAGAGTGATGAATGCCCAGAGAGCGCCAAAGGAAGGCAAATGCATGCGACTCAACACACAATGGACTTCCCTTCACGCATAGTCACATGAAATCATGGTTTCAATGTATCGATCTGTTCTAGGAATCCTGTTTCTCTCTTCCGTTGCCTTCCCAGCCCTTTACCAGCCTCTTCTCACACACCTGTGGCAATGGCTGATACGGAACCCTCTGTATCGCTTGTCGACTTTTGAGACGATATGGACAGTCCTTCTTTACGCAGTAATCGAGGTGTCTATGACGATTGTATTCATGCGAAACCCGCAATGGAGATTTGCGGTTCAGCAGGATACGAAAGAGGGCCGGGGGGATACAGCTAGGAAGCCACATGGGATGCGACGCCCTTCGCGGCGATGGGGCGAGGCTATCACGTACATGACGCCGCTACTACTCATGGATCTGACCATGATCAAGAAGTTTGCCGATGTTCCGCTTACTGCAATGCTAGAGTCGGGCAATTACCACGCGGCCGCGGCAGCAATCGCAGCAAACAACTCCACTACGGCGTATCACAGTACATTTCTGGTGCCAACACTGCACAACATGACGATGTCTTCGCCGCTGCAAACGCAACGCGCTCTTCCAGACCTTCCTCCTACGAGCCGCCGAATCGCCCTCGAGCTCGCGACGAGCTTTTTCCTCTACGATGCGCTCTTCTTCCTCTTCCACTACTCGCTTCACGTCATACCCGTGGTCAAGCGATGGCACGCACCGCACCATCGACACGCCGAGATACACCCCCAGATCACCAACCAGTTGCACATTCTCGAGCGACTGGGCCTGGTGCTGCTGGCCAACTTCAGCCTCAACATCATAAAGAGCCATGTCTTCACGCGGACTTTGTTTGTACCCATATTCGTATGGCTATTAGTCGAGCTGCATTCGGGGCTGGATCTCCCGTGGGGTTATGAGAAGATACTGCCTAAGGGTTGGGGAGGCGGAGCCAGAAAGCACAGCCTCCATCATGCACGAGGCGGTGGAGGCTACGAGTCTTCTGAGGGAGCAAAAAACGCAAAAAGTAAACTAAATATTTAAACAAAACATCTTATTTAATACAAGTTATTTAGCTACTAGTCTAATTACTAGTAATATTAAATTAGACTAAGTTTTACTATTCTAATACTAGCTATCTACCTATTTTTTTAGTAATAAACTAATCTTAACTAGACTCTAGCTTATAGCTTAATATACTACTTTATAGTAGAAATAAGAAGAGCTAAAAAATTAATATACGCTATCTTTACTTACGTAAGCGCTAAATACCTCTATATTAATTCTCTAATTACTTAGATCTTACCTTATATTATCTATATCTCTAAGTAGATATTACTTATAGACGTTAGTATAATATACTACTTATAACTTACTCTATATACTAGTATACTTAAAAAAGTACTACTAGACTACTATAAGTATAGCTATTTTAGAAAACGCGTATAAGAAATTAGCTATTAGATACTAAAAATCTAACTAGCTTTACGCTAGAGTCTTAGAGCTATTATAAATAATAAAGATAATATTACTATTAATAGATATAAAGTTTATTATAATAGTATTCTTAATAGTTTTAGTTTTAGAGATAAAGTTTAAATAAAAGTAGTAAGATAAAATTTTATACTACTTATAGGTATTCTAAGAAGACCTTACTTATAGTTATTATAACTATTTAAGTTACTACTAAACTTTAGTTATTAACTAAATTTTTTATTTATCTTATAGTACTAGACACTACTTACTTATTTAAGAAGTAATATTATAATACTAAACTACTACTTTTAACTTAAAAAAAAATAATTAGTAATTATATATAATTTATATAACAAACGCGCAGCAAGATAAGTAGAGGCTACGAGCTGTACTTTACATGGTGGGACAATTTGCTGGAACAAGCGGGCCAGAGTCCGAAAGAACATGTCGAATAATTGCGCACGAGCCCCCTCGGTTACAGATGCATCGTACGACTACCGAAATGTCAACAAGCACAACGAGGGCGCGTCTAAGGCCTATGTTTGCCTTTGGATAGCCAGCGAGCCGCAGCGGTATAAAACGATCCACAGCATAGCCTTCTATAGAGCCTCGCCTTTGTGTAGGTATAGGATGTGCGTTGAGCCTCCCCGGGAGCGGGAACTTGCGAGATACCGAGGTCGCTAAAGATCAGGCGCCAGCCGCCCCTATTGAACGCCACAAGAGCTTGATTCACGATAGTATGGAGGGCCTCGCGACGCGAAAATTCTATACATAAGAAGTTTCGCTGTAGACAAATCGTGGGTATCGCTCATCGTCGCTCGTTCTTCGTACAGTCACTCGTTCCAAATTCTGTGTCTCATCGACAACTTCACTCTTTCAAACTTTGTACTCTTCACAAGATCGATCCAGTCACCATGGCTTCAAAGTTTATCCTCGTGTCCTTAATCGGCCTAGTTGCTGCGCAACAAGACATCCCAGCAACTATGTCAGTCCCATGGATCGGCGACATCTTCGAAGGCTCAGTCTTGCCGAACATGGTCGGCTCCGTTGTCACCGCGAATCCCACCGCTACGACTCTTGCACTCGCCTGCGCTACCTCCATCGACTGTGGTCTCTTTCCAGCCGAAACCCTTGTCTTCGGTCCTTCGACTTGGAATCTCAACATGGGAGACCCAAGCCCGGAGTCCGACTTTACCGCTACAATGGACTGCGTGATCATGCCAGAAAGCGCGATATGCAAAGAGACGGCTGGTGGAACCGAGGCAAACTTTCCCGGCAGCAGCACAGAGCCATACAGTGGCTCAGCTGTAGGCACGTTTGAATTGGTGATCACGGCTGGTGTAGAGAAACTCAGCCAGGCCTTGGAAGCTACTACCACTGACGCTGCAACATCCACCGCTACTTTGTACAAGTCACACCCGATGTCTGGATTTGTAGAAGAGATGAGTGCTAGTACAGGTGTTGCAGCGAATTCTGGAAGTGTGAGCCAAACTGCCAGTGCCGCTGCGGCAGATGCTACTGGTGCTGCTAATGCCAAGAGCGTGGTTGGTGGTGGTCTTCTTAGCGTGGCTGCTGGTGTAATCGGAGGCCTGTTGCTATGAAGCCTTGATAGCCTAATACTAGCCTGAAATACATAATTGCTTCGCATCGCTTGGCAGTACATGGAAACCTTGGCATACTTTGGGATGCCCTACACTGCATGACTGCGCCGCTGGGTATATACTCGGTTTCGAAGTAGAGCACTCTATTCTCGGGGATCAATCATTGCAGATCACCACGGGATACTTGGCATCCCCTCTTCTCATGTCGTGTAAGAGGTGGCCTTGATGTGAGAGATCCCAACAAATACGTACGTGAGAGTGCAGACAGGCTGGATATTACTGCACGAATGGGCAGCGAAGAACTGTATACAATGTGGCAATTCCGGTTGATGTTAGTATTGCTGCAATGTACAGTAGAGGCGATGCAGAATGGAGAATCAACGCGCGCAGGGTGGAGACAGGGCGGAGGCTACCTACCAAGGTATGTATATAAGCAACGCCTACCGAGCCGTTATCCTACTGAACATCCGGCTCTCAACTTCAGAACTCTCAAAGACTATTCCATATCTCGATTCGACTTGCTCAATATGCGTTTCATAGTACCCACCCTCGCCGCGATGATCAGTCTCTCAGCGGCAGACTTCTTGATATACAGTTTTGAAGACACCAATGCCGGCGAAGTCTACGTACGATATGCCCAGTTATCTGGTTGTAAGCTGCAGATGCTAATGTAACCCAGAATGCCTTCCTATTTCTCAAGGCCGAGCCAGACTGTGCCGACGTATGTGACGGTGATGGCAAAGGTGGCTGGTTGACCGAAACGGAAGACGCAAGTGGTGGCGGTGCGCGATGCAAGACGCCCAAAGAATCGCCATACGGATGCTCCGGTGGCGAGGGCGAGATCCTAGAGCTGGAGATGAACAGCAAGTGGAGTGACCCGCCAGTCCATTTTACGATATACAGTAAGCCTCAACGTAACTATTCTTGAATGGACCACTACTCGAGGCTGACACTAGCTGAATAGAAGAAAGAGGATACGAGATGGAGCCAGCGGGTGGCGGGGCTTCACTCGGGAAGTGTACGCCTACTGGTGCCGATACGTATCAGTGTGTTTGCTTTCCCAACGGAAAGGGTGGGAGAGGTCTCTTTTCGTGCAAGTCTGAGCTTACTCCGGAAAGCTTTATCCCTGCCAAATAGGTGCAAACAAGAGCTACACTGTCACTGTTATCTCTACACTGTCGTTACTGTTTTCAGTTCTCTGGTCAAATAGCTGGTTGAATACAAAAGCGTTATGGCGGTTGTCAAACTCACAAATGTAGTCTGTTTTCAACTCCATCGCTGCATTCGATACACTTCGTCTGTTCTCGGATGCTCAAATGCTTACCTAGTTTTCTCTTTCTGTTCTCATCCAATGGAAAAGAGTTGTTGAATGTGATGCAGAGTGATTTGTGCATAAAGTGGACGTTTGAGAGGTATGCAGTCTGGAAATTGCTTCATGTGGCCAAGCTCATTGTCCCCTGTAGCTGAGTGCTGTGCCGCAGCACTGACAATCGCTGTCCGGTTGTATCATTGCAGCCTAATCATAGTACTGCCTCGATAAAATCTTCCTTCGTCGAACGTGAGCGTCTGTCCGCTCTATCGGCGGAGTCATTCCAGATATCTGCTTCCCCCAGAAAGCCTTCCAGACTTTAGAAGTTCTACATACGTCTCTCAGAGCCGAGAGTTTACGGGAATTCGTGTTGGAGCAACAGTACCTCAACGAATGTCATTCAGCCGGTAGCTATGCCGTGAAACCAAGGTGCAGTTGCGCAGTTTAACCATAGGTACTGCATCGTCTTGACAGCTCAGCTCCTTTGTTCAGCTCCTCGGTTCGCGCGGGTCTTGGGCCTTTGAGCCCTCATTGAGCAACTCCGTGTCATTTTGAGTCTTTTTACTTTCGAGCGTGCTTTGTTTGCAATTTCCGTTGTCAAGTGTCGTCGACGAAGAGCGAAGCAAGCGGGGAATGCTGCATGCTACCTCTCGCACGCACCGATATGAAATCCAGGAATGACCAGTCGTCAATGATGGACTTTCTATCAGCCTAATTGTGAGAGCGGTAGCATCCCTGGACAAAGAGACCGGGTGCTGCTATGAGAAGAGAACAGCCGGCACTGGTGCTGTATAAAGTGTGAGATCGAGCCGCTCTTACCCCTTCACTCCATACACCTTCCCAACGTCTTCTAGAGAGCAACGACCTGAATCTCCATCAAAATGCGTCTAATCCTTCCTGTTCTCGCCGTTGTTTTCGGTTTCGCTACTGCGGACTTTGTGATCTACACGTTCGAAGACAGCAACTTCACAGGTGAAGCTTACGTAAGACGTGTGTTTTGTATGAAATTAGAGTATAGCTAACGCAGCTCCAGGTGGGGTGGAAGTTCTTTGACGGCCCACCGGACTGTAACGATGTTTGCGACACATCCAACCTAAGCGGGACGGACGACGCGAGTGATGGCGGAGTTCGCTGCGAAGGCAATGATCCAGCAGGTGGCTGCGCTTATTGGGACAGTGTGATTACAGAGCTCGAAGTGCATACCTTGAATGGCATGCATTGGACTATCTATGGTGGGAATCCGTTGGTCTACCATCGTGTCCCAAGCTAATAACCCGAGTAGAGGACAAAGGGTTCGAAATGGAGGCCGCGGATGGCAGTGGCTCTCAGGGCAAGTGCACACCCGATACCACAGACGATTACGATTGCGCCAGCTGTGGAAGCCGTTCTCGCGGCCGTCGCGTCTTCTCCTGCAAGAGCAATTTTACGGCAAAGGACTTCGGCTTGTAGACCGACTGATGTAGCCGGGCTATTGGACTTTCTGGATATGCTTGTGTGGTGTCCTAGTCTTTGTTCGAACGTCTTCCCATGGTTCCTGCGACTCAGTGCGAGTTTGATATGTCTTTACCGAATATGTTGCACATTCTGCCATCAAAAAATGATCGAGTCCGATTGCTTGAACCTGTTAGAGGTCATCTGATCAATTTGTGATGTCTTAG